TAATTGTAAAATTATCAAAATTATTAATTTGTTTCTTACATTTCTCAAATATTAATTTTCTTTGGTCATTGTAAAATGAACAAGTCATGATGAAAAGTTGTTTGTCTTATATTTGTTTTTTTTGTGCAAAGTTCACATACTCTTCCTTTTACAGGTGTTTTTCGTTTGGAATGTCGTCCTGTTTCTATTTTTAAATTGTGGCTGCTTAGTCGAAATTTACATAATGTTTGTTTTAGTTCAACATTTTTCAGTGATATCAAATAGTTTTCTAATTCAAATTTATTTTTAAATTTTCAGTATGTTCTCAATTTATTACCCGCTCGATCATTATTCAATTCTTCTTTCCAGTACTGTTTAAATTGTTTTTCCAATTGTATTTGTAAATTTTTGTTTTCAGCAGCAGTTGTTGTTGTTATTGTGTCCAAATTAATTGTGTCACTTTCATTGATGTTGTTTAATTGTGTCGTTATTGCGATATACCATTTACTGTTCATTTGCTCGTTTAGTATTGCTGCTTCTTTAATTAGTACATTAGGCGAGTTTATTGCGCGGTTGTAGTATTTGATCATTTGTTTTTGTATAAATAAATATAGCAGATATTCACCCAACTCTCCGTATATTGCCATTATGGGAGTGTTTCTCTTGATACCGAGAATAAATCTGCAGAAATGTAAATGGATATCTTCAACTTCCGATTTATAAGAACTCTCATGGCCCCATATATCACTGCCATATGTCAGAATAGGTCTTACGAACCTATGGAATAGGGACATCAATGTTTTTGTATTTATATTAGGATTTTGTCCTAAACGAGAAAAAAAACTGAGACATCATCAAGCTAGGTAACTTGGTAATTTATTTGGTGTACGGGGCAAAAGAAGTCCCCGGCGGTGATTAGTGGACGTCGCACCCAAGTCAAAAGTCTTACTCGTGATTCCATTAGTGCATTGGATTGTCGCACATGCACGGCGCGACTAAAAGTCCACATTTCATGGAGAATTGTATTTAAAAGTCAGTTGAAATGTAATTTTTGCGGAACACTCATATGTCCCACCTATACCAGAGTATTCTATGTGAAGTATTCGCCGTTAAAATTTGTGTGAAACGCACACACATGACCTCGAACATGTAATAAATAATCGAATAATAATAATAATAGAAATAGAAAAACAATTTTTCCATCGATTTATAGCAATATGCATATAAAGGAATAGAACATTATTACTAACCAGGATTGTTCATTTCCTAATGAAACAATGTTGGCCTCATCCTAATCTACGCATTTCCACATCCCCTGAACACCGGGCATGGACAGGAATCATGGTCTCCGGTAGCAGCACGTCAGTTGAATTTCTATAGAATTATGATTTTAGGAAGCACTTCAAACAGCAGTATTGTATATTATATTTCTGTATTGATTTTGTTTATACTCGCCACCCGCCCCCGGGGTGTCACTGGTAGAAATCTACTATTAAACGAATATGCGAAGGGCGTTCTCGAATGGAAAAGCTATACGGGTATGTGTCACCCGATTCGGGTATCCTTTTCACACCAGTTGCTAGAGAAGTGTGATATGAATATTGACACGTTTATGGTATAAATGTGGGTGAAGTTATAAAATACGATGAGAACCATGTAAACCAATGGTAGGGTTTGACCATGGAGGTAATAATTAGTATTACCTCCATGGTTTGACTATATGGAGTATTGTGATTTTTGACTATATGGAGTATTGTGATTTTTGACCATATGAAGTATTGTGATTTTTGACTATATGGAGTATTGTGATTTTTAACCATATGGAGTATTGTGATTTTTGACTATATGGAGTATTGTGATTTTTGACTATATGGAGCTTTGCGATTTTTGACTATATGGAGTATTGTGATTTTTGACTATATGGAGTATTGTGATTTTTGACCATATGGAGCTTTGTGATTTTTGACTATATGGAGCTTTGTGATTTTTGACTATATGAGTATTGTTACTTTTGACCATATGGAGCTTTGTGATTTTTGACTATATGGTGCTTTGTGATTTTTGACTATATGGAGTATTGTGATTTTTGACTATATGGTGCTTTGTGATTTTTGACCATATGGAGCTTTGTGATTTTTGACCATATGGAGTATTGTGATTTTTGACTACATGGAGTATTGTGATTTTTGACTATATGGAGCTTTGTGATTTTTGACCATATGGAGCTTTGTGATTTTTGACCATATGGAGCTTTGTGATTTTTGACTATATGGAGCTTTGTGATTTTTGACCATATGGAGTATTGTGATTTTTGACCATATGGAGTATTGTGATTTTTGACCATATGGAG